GTGGTACACAATGGAAATTACGATGCAGAATGCTGTATAAACATAAGTTAAAAATGATGTCTCTGAACTCTAGCTGTCTGAATATTGCATTCAAAAGAAAACAAGTGTTCACATTTTTAAGAAGTAAAAAGGCACAAATCTTCTGCCTACAGGATGTGCATTTCACAGCTGATGAGGAGCAATTAATAAAGCAAGCAATGGGGTTATTAAGAATGTTACATAAGTCCTTATTAGAGTAATGCTAGGGGAACTGCTATATTGCTAAATAATGATTTTGAATTGAAAGTAAAATAATTTATTAAAGATGAAAAAAGGCAATTCTCTGGTTTTAAATATAGAAATTCAAGAACATGTGTATACAATAGTAAATAGTTATGGCCCATGTTTAGATAATCATGACGTTTTTTTCAGAAAATAGAAGAATTATAATTAAATTAGAAAGCGAAAGGAGTATTTTATGTGGTGTTTGGAATTTGATAATGGATATGGATCTGGATACATTTAATTATAAGCATATTAATAATCCTAACGCACGAAAGGAAGTTTTTGAAATAATTGATTTATTAGATTTGAAGGATCCTTGGATCCTTATCAGATATGGAAAGAGGAAGAAAGAGGGTTTGGGAAATTAAATAATTCTTTGTTACAAGATACGAAGTATGTGGAACAAATATAAGAAACAATACAAAACACATTCCATCAATATGAGGATAAGTCTAGTGAAGAAAAGAAATATTTGATTGATGATCAATTATTATGGAAAATATTATTATTAGAAAACCAAGAAAAATGATGAAACTAAAGAAAAAACTTTATTTTCAGATCTCAATAAGCTTGAATTGTTTTTATACTCAACAAACATTGAAGAAGAAAAGAAATAAATTATAGAAAATATTGATGAGATTAAAAATGAATTGGAAGAATGAAATAAATTAAGGAATAAAGGAGTTTTCATTAGACCAAAGGCGGAATGGATAGAACACGGCGAAAAACCTAGTAGTTACGTTTTAAAATTAGAATATCGATTTTTAAAAATAAGTATATTAAAGAATTACATTTTAATGAGGGAACTGTTATAAAAAAAATACAGAATGAATTGCTAGCAGAAACTAAACAGTTCTATCAAAAATTGTATAGCGATGAAGATTGTGAATGAATAAATTTAGAAGAATTTTTATTTTGATAGAGACATTCCAAGACTACACATCCACTTCCATTAGTCTTAGAAGGGGAAATAACCATAAAAGAAGCCCTAGAGGCACTAAAGAAAATGAAAAATGGAAAAAAGTCCAGGACCAGATGGATTTACTACAGATTTTTTTTAATTCTTTTGGAATGACCTTGGAAAATATTTAATAAATTCACTAAATTATGGATATAGAAATGATTCATTATCTATAACACAGAAACAGGGGCTTATTACTTGCTTACCAAAAGAAAAAAGCCAAAACGTCTCTTAAAAAACAACTGGCGTCCAATCGCATTGTTACATACATCCTATAAACTTACATCAGCAGTGATAGCAAATAGAATTAAAACTGTCTTACCTATTATAATAAATGAGGACCAAAAGAGATTTCTTCCTGGGAGATATATTGGAGTGGTGACTAGACTTATATATGATTTAATGGATTATACGGAAAGTTATCAAATCCCAGGTTTACTGGTGTTAATAGATTTCGAGAAAGCTTTTGATACGGTAAATAAAACTTTTTTCATTAATGCATTAAAATTCTGTCATATATACACTTTATCATATATATATACACTTTATTCAGATGTATTGTAGGCCAAAGGCCCATGATACAATGGTTACAGTGTGGAGTTTGAGATCCCAACAGACTTTGCCTTCGATTCATAGCTTTTAGAATATACAGTAAATGGGTTGGAGGATGACATTAAAATATTGTACTTATGTCTTGTCGGGAACTCATAATAATTCAAGGATATATATTCTGACCTCAAAACTTGATAACAATCACAAATTAAAATAAAGTGATACTCATTTTCGACATAATCATGTTTACAAACAGTACAAACTCTTCCTTCTCTAGGTTCCTTAATATGTCTACCTGATAACATTCTGTCAATTTGTACCAAGTATTCAAAAATGGATGTCAACACTTTTTAATGGCCTGGAATCCAGTGTGGAAGTTAATGGATTTGCGAGTCCTTTTTAAGATATTAAGAAGCTGTCGTCAAGGTTACCCAGTGTCGCCATATATTTTTATAATTTGTGCGGAAATGTTGGCAAATAAAATAAGAAATAATCCTAAAATAAAAGGAATTAAGATAGGAAAGATTGAACACTTGCTGTCACAATTTGCAGATGACACATCATTAAGTTTGGATGGAGAGAAAAGAAAAGAAAAAGGCCTTTATGCTGTAGTGTACACATTGCAGTTTTTTGCCAGATTTTCTGGTCTTAAGGTTAATGAGGAGAAAACTAAACTGTTTGGATTGGTTCAAAAAAGAGATCAAGATATAACCTATGTAAGGATTGGCATCTGGACTGGACTAATACAAAGTTTAAGCTATTAGGAATAACCTTTGATGTTGAATTAGATAATATTGAAGAGGATAATTATAATATAAAGTTTGAAAACATTGAGAGAGAAATGAACCTATGGACGGTAAGAAATTTGACTCCAATAGGTAGAAATATAGTCCTAAAAAGCCTTTTTTTTGTCAAAATTGAATCATGTTTTTTCTTCGATACCCAACCCTCCAAAAGATGTGATTGATACTTTTCAGAAAAATGTTTTAAATTTGTTTGGAAGGGAAAACATTAGTGAAAAGTGAACAGACAAATAATGTCTCAACCCCCAAAACATGGCGGAATTAACATGCCAATTATAAACGATGTCATTGCAGCACAAACATTTTCATGGATCAGAAGATTATATTGTTATCACTTAAAATGGACTGAGTTAGTTGCTTGCTGTTTTCCAAATAGAGAGGATTATGGTTTACAGATGCCTCCTGTGTTGATGTATTTATTACTTCAAATACCATGAATTTATTTTGGAAGGGTGTTTTGGATCCTTGGGCAACATACTTGTCCAAAAAGAAACTAAAAACTGGCCAATATATTATGAGACAATCTATATGGTTTTATAGTAGAATACAAATAGGAAATAGCTCAATCTTTTATAAACATTGATCAAGCAGAGGTTTAACCTTCAGTTGGGATTTTGTGGATGACAAAGGTTAATTTCATGTATTTGATGCTTTTGTGCATATGTATGGAATCCAAACAAATTATATAAGATATGATGGAGTTGTTAATGCAGTCAACAAATTCTGTAAGGTAAAGGAATACAATGTTTTTAATTCTATATCTCCTCGACGAACCATGCCACTCAATATATCACATCTGCTAAACCAAAATATGGGTAGTATAGAATTTTACAAGTCTTTATCAGCACAGGCTAGGTGTGTGTTAAATTTCATGGCATTCAAAAATGGGAAAGTATACTAAATAAGACATTTTGTGAAAAAAATTGTCAACATATATTGATGGTAAAAAGATACACTCAAAGTGAGGATATTAGATGGTTTCAGTTTAAGATTATTCACTACATTCTTACAACTAACAACTATTTATATAAAATTGGATATGTTGATTCTCCTATGTGTACTTTCTGTACAAATCAACCTCAAACTATAATCCATATGTTATATGATTGTGAACATGTAAGACAGATTTGAGAGAAACTGTATATTTGGATAAAATCCGTTGTGGAGGGCATTGATTTAAACAGAGCAAATGTTTTGTTTGGAGTTCAAGGCAAACACAACAACCTATTGAACATTGTACTTTTAATAACAAAACAAGTAATATACAGAAAATGTAGGAAAGGATGAATGCCACATTTTGAACACATACAGCATGAGATAATTAGTTACAATAATTTGTAAGATACACTGATACAGTACGTTGACTATACAAGCAAGAATTTCTTTGTATAAAAAGATGTACACTTCTTGAGTACTATGTAACATGGACATGGACATGACATGTATATATAAATGCTGTACCTGCTGAGATGAATAAAGAAGGATAAACAACAACAAAACTTTCCCTTTATGTCGAGCAAGTGTTAACTGACACAAACGCGGACTTGCGAATTTGCGAAACTGGTCAACATGGGGTATTTAATAGAATCATGGTCACTATCGCATCAAATTTGGATATGTCCTGAACGTGCTGCCAGAAACCTTTTAAAATACAAGCGATAAAATCCTACACATTATCATCTGAAAGCAGATTCAATAGTATGATTCCGACTTTATATCATAAGTATGTGTTTTCGCGAACACCTGGTGTCATCACTGATTTTACTATGATCCATTAATAGAAACGGCTCATTTCGTTTCATAGTATGACAGGAGTAGCCTCCTGCTGTGATTTGTGAGACGCTTCGATGACTGTATCTTCGTAACATGTTCCTCTCATGAGTGTCTCCGTTTGTTGTCTCCATTGGGATGACGATGGAGTCATGTGTCTGTGTCAGTGTTCCGAATAGAATTTGTTTTTCAAGTCCACTGTCACACTTTGAATAAAGCTATATCTCTACATATAGTCCTGGAGTTCGTTCAGATTGTCAATCAGAATGTTGTGGTGAGTTTATCGTACAAAATAAACACTGTGGCTGGACCTTATGAAGATCAATTTAACAAAATACATATTGAAGGTAACAATTGTCAGTTACTCATCTGAGCCAATACTTAGTTTTGCAGGTAAAGCAGAACAGGTTTCTGACGACTGAGTCACCAAAAGGCAGAATTGAGACTGTGATATGTTGTCGAACATGTAACATACTGTGTACACACATAATTACGCAAACACAAACACATATTTGTCAGTACACGGAAGGCAAATCAATATGAATTTAGTGTGGATAGGAAGTTAGAATAATGTAGTGTTGGTTGTATTTCATTCACAATTCACGATCCTGTTGGAATTCACGAGAGACTGATTTACATAGTTAATGAGTCTATAGCCATTTCTTCACGTCATCTGGGGATCTGATTCCATACACTTGTGGGGCTCTTGTCTCCGGTAGGTCCCTTCCTCTTAGTTCAGACCCAACGATGTATATCTTTCCTAGTTTCTGCTGACTCCAGTGTAACACTCTATCTATTACAGGTGTATTTACCTCAACGATCTGGGCTAGGCCTTTAAATACTACGAGATTAAATGGTACCTCTTCAGAAAGATACCGGCCCTTAAAATCTGGTATGTATCCTCCTCCCACTTTCAACATAGGATGTAGTAATCCATCAAATGCCTTGTTGGTTGTCAGAGCATATTTTAGGCTGCTTTGGTCAGAAATGATCGGCCAGTAGCAGTTTACCAACCACTGAAGGCCAGATGGTAATTCATATGGTCGTTCCTGTAGCAATTTCACCTTTATCTTTCTGACCTCACTGTCAAGGTCACTGATATACTGTGCTTGGAAGTCATCTGTACCTTGGTAGAAGAGTGGGTTCTCGGATAGAGACTCGTGGTTCCAATCTCTCCATTTGCCGTACATTATTCCAAGATGAAGGGCAGAGGGCAAATGGGCGAGCTCCATGCTATGGTTGACCTGCTTAAGAACTGGAAACGGCCCAAAGATTGATTTTAACACCTGAAAATGATTGAGCCACATTTGGCCATCTTTGTGAACTACATACATATGCAATAACTCTTTAACACCAATTACATCTACCTTGACTCCGTACTCAGATATTCTACAGGCCCAGGGAAGGGATTCCGCCGATATGATAGTGAGATCATTCAATTTATTTCGAAGAATGTGACATGCTTGGTAATCAAAACCAGCCTGTCCGGGCAAGGCAACAAGAATGGTCCCCTTCTGCATGTAGGGTTCAATGGCTGCCAGGTACTTCCCATGGGAGAACGCAGGGACAACCAAAACAATGATGTCTGCTCCTGGCACCACTTCTGCTGGGTTGTCAGATATTGTATGGGGGTTAGCTTTGTATACAATTGACTTGGCGCCTCTACAAGGGAATGAACAGGACAGGATTTTACTCGTTGAAGCCTCTCTCCATTCCCGAGCCTGGGAAAGTGCAAGGACACGACAGGGCATGTCAGTTTGTGAAGCTACTAAAGCTGCTAGAACATGAGCTCCATTTCCACCACCACATACCAGCACTGTTACTTTCATTTTTAGATCTGTAATAGAAATAATACATATTAATATGACAAGTATGCTATTGTTTCTCTTGTTATATACCAGGAAGACAATTCTGCCATCAGGTCAGAGGTATTGTGCATTAATTCATGTATCATGTCAGTATCAACAGTATGAGGTAAATGAGATCACATGTACACGAGTGACGATTTGGCTTGATAAGTAAAACGGTTGTCTTATTACCACTGCTATATATTGCGGAATATGCTATATATTAGAATTAAACATGTAACATACCTTGTTCCGTCATTGAATAAATACAAGAATGAGTGACAGAGTTGGGTTTAACGCCGCTTTTAACAGTATTCCAGTTATATCGCGGCTGTCAGCTTAATGTAGGAGGAAAGCCAGAAGTGATGCAAGTCTCAGACGTTTACCACTGAGCACGGGTATGGTGCTGACAAACCTAGAAACATAATAAAAGGCGAAACGGGATTCGAACCAACAATCACAGGTTTCTGGCGCCACTCTGCACAGCGAATCGCGGCGCCTTAGACGACTGGGCCACCCGTGCCCCCGAATAAATACAAGAACACGCATGGGGTCACAATCCCTGAACAGTCAATCAGTGATCTGGAAATGTTGTCTTATGATGTTCTTATACATATATGTGTAACAGAAGATTTTCTTGATTTAATAACTTGTCACTCGTCTTGAACAGGCTTGTAACGATGTGTTTCTGTTTTATGAAGTTAATTTAAGCATACAAGTAAAAGTAAAAAACCCAAAACGTCACCAATTGGACAATAATAGCGTGTGAAGAAAGAGTTTACTTCCTTCGCTAACAGTGAAAAGGATTAATAATGTTCAGATGAACTACCCTGCTTGTACATGTGGACCTACCACGCGTTCGTTTGTATACATTTTCCTAATATGGTAGGAAAAAGTGAGGCAAAAGAAAAGGGCAAGAGAACAGAAATGTTAACATGATTTCTCACAGTAAACTAATATTTAAGGACATGTATGGTATGTCTGTTTTGTGCAATAAACAAAGTAAGAAAATTCTGCACTTGAAAACACTGAATAGTTTGTAATATACACTACATGAGTTGCTGGCTTTTGATATGACATGGACATTTTGCTATGTAGCTTCGGCAAACGATGCTTCCCATTTTGTTATTTCAGGACTATGTCAATGATACCCTATTTTATGCATTTAAAACTAAGGAGCGAGTGCTTTTGCAGGTGTGAGACAGACCTCAGATTATCGCTTAAACAAGTACAGCTCTCTGAAACAGCTATACAACTTTCTACTCTTCAAAGTTTCAAAGAAAATCTTCATGGCATCGCATAAAATAATTATCAAATATGGTAAATGTGGTCATGTCATGACAGATTAACAAAAGTAATATCAACGCATCGGATGGTCCTCTGGGGTCGCATAATTTTTAAATTGATGTTAGATTATGGGATTCTCATGTTTCTGCATGGCTATACCTCTAACTCCAGGTGAATGCATACTTACCAATGCTCGTTTTCCACATTATCTCTTAAGAGATATAAGACATCAGATATTATCCTTATCATTATCTCAGCAAAACATTGGTCATCTAATGTTATCTCTGTCTACATATTAGTAGTGGGCACTCTCAACCCACCTACCCCTCCCTCTTACCCTCTCAACCGTATAAGAAGTTTTGGTGCTTGCTCTGCGATGCTTACAATACGACCACATCAACACCAAGCACCGATTTTGCAGCTGTATTTATCAAAGCAAAGAGATGAAATTTTCAGATACGACCCTTAAAATCTAGTATTGCAGTAGATAACAGAACATATTTTATGCATTAAAGAATATACTAGATTTGAATGTGATAGGAATCATTGTAAAGTTAATGTAAACCATCACATCAACGATAGAAAAGAGGACTCGATGCACTTTAATTGATGTTCTCTAATTTTGCAACATAAATGTACATTTTGACCCCAAAACAGTATCTTCCACCAAACAATTTGACCACATCCATCATGTTCTAGTCTAATTCTAGTTCTAAAATATTTTTCACTTTTTCTTAGACAAGGAAACATGTATGAGCTTGAAAATGTACGACTAACCACTTGGAAATCAAAACCCAAATGATTGAATCATTGAATAGGTACAGATTCTATACATTTGTGACGTTTTCAATCACGCGCTATGAGTGAAAACGTATCTAGAACAAGAAAATCGAATTCCCGTATATGTTCGACACATTCAACATCACCCCACATTCACCCTATCGTGATTCCTGGGTTGACGGCATCATACTCATTCCTTAAGTTATAAACTAGCAATGTCATTAACGCATTTATAATAGAACACTTTCTGTAGCGGAAGGTCGCACCTTTGCAAAAGACTAGGAACCTTCAGTGTCGAAACATTTGCATTAGAAAAGCACTATTTCTGGAGTAGAAGACTGCCGGCTAGAAACTTACATCATCAATGCTATTAATATACAAAGACCCTAGTGGAAGACTGTCTAAGAAACTTATAGTATCAATACTACTCATGAACATAAACATTAGGGAAATATTGTTTCTATAGCGGAAGGGTGCCGCGTTAATGCGGCGTTAGTTACAAAGTTCACTAAAAGCAATGTTTAATACAAGGCAATATGTAGCCTGACTACGAACGCTATGCAGAATAAATAAGAACATGCAATGATTGTCAACTTGTCGCGCGCGCTTTTTTTGACAATGAATAACTTGATTTGCTTACTTGTTATCGCCATCAGAAAGCTCGACACACCTGATGAAGAACTGCTCTGCTTGATGGTGATCTCTAACTGAAAGTTCTTTACAATTGATGACGAAATCTTCTGCTTACAGGTGATCTCTATATTAAAACGTCTTTACTCGAGATGAAATGATTCCGCAAATTGAATGCCGGTAATTTTGTTGCAAGTGTGTCGTTCGCTATAGGTACTGCTTTGGTTTATCGCAATGACAATGTAGTGAAAGCAGGTATATGGGATATTCTAACATGACACTAAATAGTGCTATATGTTGATTGGTCAAAACCATGACTCTGAACAATGTTTGTTACTGATTGGTCGAAACCAAGTACATAATTCCATTAGATGCCTCAAAAGCAACATGCCTTTTCAAACAAAAATCTTGCGTATGAAAATATTGATCGATATAATGTAACAGCCTTCGTATCGATGAACCCTCTTGGCTCATGCAATATGTAAATAGTAATTTGTAAATCCGTAAACAACTATAGTGGCAGCCATGGACAGTGAAGAGTAATGGAAGTAAGCAAAAGCGCTCTGTTCCGAATTAAAACAAGAGATATCAAATCTACAGTGAGACGACCTCACATTTCAGAACACCTAATTGTCTTTTGTCATTATTTATGGTTAATTAAGAATTGACTTTCATTTGGTGTGAGTTCATTGGTGTATGAATCTTCATAGAGTAAGCCTAGTGGTAAAAGCGTCACGCCGAAAACCCGGTTCGATTCCCGACATGGGTACACTGTGTGAAGCCCATTTCTGGTGTCCCCCATCGTGATATTGCTGGAATATTGCTAAAAGCGGCGTAAAACCATACTCACTCACTCACTATGAATGTCGGCTGCCTTGTAATAGGACCAATCTCGTTTAAATTAATGGCAGTCTAAATCGGGAATATTTCGTTTAGCACTACTATATTGATGCTAGGGAACTCCCACGGGTTTTCCCAGGAATGTGGAAGTAGTCCGTCAGTGTTTACGTCATTTCCAGAACACGTTCTCGTGAAAAACTCATGGACATCAAATTATGTTGTTCATACACTTATGAACGTCAATTTCGTCAACTGCAAAGTAAAACATTATTCAATTTATCCATAGTAATGTGTTGAGTGATGTAATTATACAGGTGGAATGTACTAATGGAATGTGTTGAAAATTTACCTCACACACACGGTAGCACTTACGATCACTCACTAATTATCAGACGTTAAGAATTTGGTTTGACTGACATTGATCTTTAATATTCATTCGTTGCAGTATTTTGAAAAAGTGTCAGTTAGTTTCTGCAGATAAATGTTGTTGCTCGCAAATAGGACAGTACATCTGCATCGAGCAGTAGCAGAAGTATGAATGAATTGGCTTGTATTTTTCTCGTTGAATACAATGTCATTAAAGTCGTGATCATTGAACTTCAAGTAATATTCAACATCAGTTAGGAACAAAGGGAATAGTAAAGATGACACATTCTCTCATTGTCGAACTCCTTTGTTACAATGAAAGAAGCAACAGTCTAAGGAAGTCATAGACTCCTTATGTGTCGAGTGTCGGAGAATATAATTGTCACATGATTTCGGTGGATGGGCGAATAACAGTGGTCAGTGTAACTAAAATAGCATGCCGAGGGTAAACAGTTTCAAGTCTGTAGTGATAAAACTTGAATATTGGTCGAAATAGCGTTAAAGAATAGCGGTAAGAATACAAGTCCAAAGCAACCTATGCTTGTCTTTAGAGGCACAAAACGGATCAAATGGTCATGATTGGTGACCTAATTGAGTGCATGTCATTATGCCCCAATTGGGTGAATCGATACTCATGATGCCAATAACTGGATTTTCAATAATGTGCAGAACGCTGTCATCTAGTTGAAATATGTGGCGTTTAACAAAGAAACAATCACAACACAGATCCAAATGTTTTATTTTAGTTCATATCAACGTAGTATCCTCAAATGTCGTGTATCAATTAATCGGCACTAACACCAAAAGAAAGACGATTTTTCAATTGTATCGTATTGCACTATGTGGTGTTAAAGTTTATGACCTCCCTATCACACGTTATCACACAACTATACATGCAAACCTAGCCATGCATTTGCTCACCTGCTCCAAGAGCAGTGCTATATATATATGTATATTTTTTAAAGTGTCTTAATGTTTGTCAGTTCTTAAGTTCTCAAATCTTAAGCATCGTTAAACATGCACTACTTAACTTGGAATATGATGCATATTACATTAGAGTTTTACAACGTTAAATGGCA